GGGCTCCCGACCCTCTCGGACTAAGAAAAGTCAATTTTCCTCCTTCTTTAGATCTAAGCCGTCGGTGCTCGCGCGGGTGTGAAGGCAGCTGGGAGCGGGCGGCTCGGTGCCTTTGAGTATTGCAGAGCTGTTTGTTGAAAGGCGACGTGCAAGGTGGCTGGGTTTGCGTTCCTCTGCGTAAAATGCTTTGTTTCACGCTTTGAAATCTCACTTTTTCCCTGGTTTATTGCTGTGGTGGAACCAGCCTCATGATCTAAGCCGTCGGTGCTCGCGCGGGTGTGAAGGCAGCTGGGAGCGGGCGGCTCGGTGCCTTTGAGTATTGCAGAGCTGTTTGTTGAAAGGCGACGTGCAAGGTGGCTGGGTTTGCGTTCCTCTGCGTAAAATGCTTTGTTTCACGCTTTGAAATCTCACTTTTTCCCTGGTTTATTGCTGTGGTGGAACCAGCCTCATTTCCTCTCCAAATTAACCTGGTTTTAGTTGTGATGCGCTCTCGGTTGCAAAGAGCAGAAGGCGAATGGACCCTGAAACGTCTACTGGGGTTAAAAGCAAACGAAAGCCACGTTGGATGTGGTCCGCCCGCACTGAGCGGCCCCAACGCACGCGACTACGACTTCCATTCGTGAGGCGGTCATCTAGGAAAGGTGCTAGTTGGGGGTTTGGTTTGATTTTTTTTTTTTCTTGTTTGATTGGTTTTTTTTCGACAAGTCTGAAGGAACCTATTTATGCTCCCTTGTCCCCGCTCAGAAGAAATCTCAAGTTTGGAGGGCAAGAACCCAAGCGATCCTATCGCCCGAGAGGGAAAAATCCCCGTCTGCAGCTTTACGGGAGTTGCCCACGTAAAGCTGATTTCCTCCCACCTTGGCACAGAGAGGCAAGGAGCAAACACCCCGAGCGTACTGCAAGCCTGTTACACCACCGAGAGCTCAAGAGCCGGGAGAACAGCCCGGCGAACCCCTCTCCGGAGGTTGGTTTTATGCCGGTGGTGCTGCTGGCCGATCCGGGCCACAGACTTGGCCTGTTCTCCACCAGCATGGAGCCTACAGCCTAGGTGCCTTGGGAAGGATGAGAGGCTCCCTGATTTGAGCCCAGGTCACTCCTAGCTTTGCGTGGCTCCATAGCAGAAATTGTCAGGGATTTCTGTAAATTAGGTGATAGCCTTCAGATTTCAATCTTTGGGAATCTGGGACGTTTTTGGAGTCTTGTTTAGGCAACAGTAGACAGAGAATGCCCTGTTGCCTTTTCTCGTTTTTCTTTTCTTCTTCTGTACCAGGACCACTTAGGTGCTGGAGAAAACTTTACCATCAGCTTTCAGTGAGGGTGTTAAATGGCCTCAAACAAGTTAGGCAAACAGCACAGTTTTCAAGAAAAATGAGATATAGGTGTTTAACTGCATTGCTGAAAGTAAAGTTTGGAGTCCCTCCCCTTAATAACTGTGTGTGTTTTGTGTCTCTGTAAACTAGAAGCTGTCGTGTTTTTTTTCTGTCTAATCAAATGTAAAACCAGGATTAATACTGGCAAGTTTACGTGATAGTATGTCATCTTGCCTCATAAAAGCTCCATAATGACGTGTCCTCTTTTCATAACCTCCACAATACTTTGAGCGTACTGGATTGCAGAGTGCAAGGGACCAAATGTGGATTCTCCTTCTCTGTGTTGCCCGTATGGCATCGCACAAGTCTGAAATTAGTCACTTTTTCTATTTTGTTTTTTTTTTTTTTTAGGGTTTCTTGGATAATCGCGCGGGAAACCCCCAGATTGTCATTTTGCGCCTCCTGCGTTACATCATCCGCCTCATTTGGAGAATGCAGTGAGTGTCGGACGCTTTGCTTGCAAGACCTAGAGACTTGTCTACTTGTGCCGAAAATCGATGAAGAACAATGAGCAGCGGGTCTTTTCTGTGCCCTATACAGGCAGTTCAGAAACCTTCCTTTCCTAAAGGACATCCAGAAGGTGCCGTGGTCTCTGTCAGTGGAAACTACACACGTGGGCTGCCAGCGTTTATCTGCTCTTGGAGGCACCGGAGGCGCATGCCTTGCCAGTGGACCTATTGGGGACTCTCTGAAGCAGGATTTTGTCTGAGAGTGGTGTTTACTATGTTTCTTCCGAACTTTTTTTTTTTAAAGATTGATCTCAGAGAAAATGCTCAACAGATACTGAATAATTTTTCCATCGTTCCTGGAAACCCGTTGGGCCTGTCTTGGATCTACTCTGCAGTGGAGAAAACTGAGCCAGCCAATCTGCAGAGCTGCCTTAGTTTGTATTACAAATATTACTGTACAGACTCGCAGCCCCTTCCCTTCTCCTTGGCTGGGAGAGGACGTGCCGGGAACCAGTGGTCTCCCTTTCTCTCCTGAGTGTTTGCCCACAAAAAAGAGGCTGCTGGAGGAAGGGAGAGGGATTCAAATCAGCACTTCTTTTATCTGTAAATACCTAATGTAACCCTAAATCTAACCGTATTTGCATCATGCAAATAGCCTATTTCCTGCTGACTGATTTTTTTTCCTTTTTTTTTTCTTTTATCACATATGAAATTCCAGATTTAGCTGTTGGACGCCCACGCTCCAGAAAATCACAACCAAACCAAACAAAAAACCAATCCACCAGGTTGCCTTTTTAGAAATTCTTTCTATGAAGTGTGTGTGTGTGAACACACTTATGTATTGTATGTTATATATAATATATAATGTTGATGACTTTGGATAATGCAGCAATAAAATGTTCTTGGAGGTAGGTTAAAACAGATACTCAAACCCTGCAGTTCTGCACCTGGAGATGAAGGGTCCTACTGCATAACTTCAGGAACTGTTTTCAACCATGGTTAGCGTGTTACCGTTAAACCCAACCCAGGCTTTTTAACATTTTGGATTTTTATCTGGGATCATTTTTGTGTTAGGACACGTCCAGGGTGATGTGAGAGACCAGCCCAGTGCAGGTGCAGAGCAGCATGGGGACAAATGACACAGTATCAGTGGCTTGAAGATCCCCAAATGATTTGAGATCCAGCTGGAACAAATCTTTGGCCAGTTTTGAAAGATACCGCTGTGCGTGGCAGGACTTCCACGTGCTCTTTGAAAAAGGTACAAATCCTTCAGGGCACTCACCGCGTCCCTGCGCGGTGGAGCGTTGAGCCTTCTCATGCGTCGCAGGCTAATGCTGTTTGAGGTGACCCTGCTCGAGAGCCGCGTCAGTACAACGCAAGACTCCCCACGGACGGGTCTGGGGAGTTGTCGTCCGCAGAAGCCGTCTGTCAGATGAACTTCCAAATCATGGTCTTCCCCCCTGGAAAGCCTTTCCTGGGTGATTGATGTTGTGCCGGGCTGGGGCGCTATGTGTCCCAGGGGTTATGTGGTTTCTGCTGTACCATCCGGAGACCCTGTGGCCATAAAATGTAGTTCAAAAGCTCCGCGCAAGGCACAAAACGTCATCGGAGGAAGCAGGTTTGTCTCCTTGCGTCTGTTGAGCGGATGCATCCCCATCGATGGGCCTACCTTGGCTCTCTGGTTCATCTCGAACTCGCAGTAGGCTTCTGCCTAGTGGGTGCTTTTTGAACGTGCTGTTGCTTCTACAGCCTGCGTATCTATGCACAAATGTCCTGTCTGCCTTCAGAACTGTCCCCTTTCCTCTGGCTGGTGCAAGTGGTTCCCGTTTCCTAAAACCAACTTCCAAATCCTTCAGTTTTATTTCTGGTTTCACCAGCACCGTAGAAGAAGGAAAAAACCAACCAATGAACCAGCCCCTAACTGTGGCAGTGGTTTTTCTACTCTGTTGCAATATAGGGAGAAGCTATTCTGAGTGCCATTGTGTTATTAGTAGCATTTTTAACGAAAGCGCAAACTGTACAATCTGAACTCTATGCACTGGCTACTTGTGCCTGTCCGGTAGGCGAAAGACCTGTTAGTCGAGGTGTGGGGCTGTGTTCCTCTGCTTGCACTCGTTTGAAGGATTAAGGAGTGATATTTTGGAGGTTCTGCAGGATGAACATCTGTCTCGGGAGTTGGCCTAGATATTTTGGAGGTTTGGAGGTTTTCTGCAAGATGAACATCTGTCTCGGGAGTTGGCCTTGGTTGCAGAAGGGGAAAAGAGATTGGTGGAAAATAGCCAGTGACCTCGGCTGGAGTCTGAGGAGCAGAAGGGCCGCAGGGTAGGGCAGGTTCTCGCCCCCGTAATCATGTTGGTTTTGGCTCGTGGCACCTGCTCGGAGAGCTGTGCTGCCCTGAATCGTGGTTGAGCCACGGTCTTTTGGTGTTTTCTATAGGCATATGTGCATGGAGGGTTTTTTTTTGTTTTGTTTTTGTTTTTTAAGAAAGGAAGGATAAGAAAAACGAGCTTTTTCTCCGTTGAGCTGTAGCAAGTACCTCCACGTGCTGCATCGATGGGTAAAACCGTGCGTTGTGGGGGCTCGCAGCCTCAGAGCATCCTCAGCGGCCCCGATTCCTGCGGCAAACGTGTTGCAGGTTGGATATCGCGACTCGCCAGTGAGAATGTGTCTCCCGTGAGTACACCAAAGAAACGCGTCCTCGCCGTACCGCCCGGGCGCGGAGCACTTTATTCCCGTCCTCCAAACCCGACCCGGCCGAAGAGCTGGCGGGGGCCGCTCGCGTGGGTTTGTCACCAGGCCCCGGCAGCAGGCTACCTTAACGAATGATTGACCTTTTTTTTTTTTTTTTTTTTTTTTGTTTAATAATAAAAATTCTAGGAATTATGTGAATAGGCAGGGGAAAAAAGGCAGGTATTGGCACTGTGCGACTTCTCTGCACTCACCTGGAAGCCTTCCCTGCCAAAAGGTAGTCGTGAGAAAAGCAGCCCCTAAAAACAGGCTTTGTGCCTTCAAAACCTCCCCCCTACCCCCAGCCCTGAGAGTTGCGAGGTTTATTCAAAACAAAAGCAAACAAATCTCAAAACACAAGAATGACTTTTTAAATAGGTGTAAAATCCTTTTTTTTTAGCAGACTAATTGGGATGGTTTCTTTTTAAGTCCGCATAACCTGCGTTCTCTCTGTCCGGCCAAAATAATCCAATGAAGAATTTCCTTTGGTTGTGGAGAAACCAGATTTATTCTTGGAGAATCTCATGTTGTGCATTATGCTTCTCTTCTTTTGATAACTGTAAATATTTGAATATTTATTAGAGTAGGGCATGGTATTATTCTCATCATCTGAGCCAAATATCTGTGTGCAATGTATTTCCTTTCCTTTCTCTCATGTAAGTTTTGTACAGCTTTATAAATAAGTAAAAAAATTGACTGTTTTTCTAAACTTTTTTTTTTTAGAAATGAACTTGGTAAATACTGTAGATTCTTTTTTTTCCCTGTGTAATTAATGCACTCTACTGTTCCATAATGCTGTAACTTGTAGAAATGTTGTATATTTATTTTCTGCTTATTTAAGTTCCTGTTTGTTTCCCTCCCCCTTCTCTCCTTCCTGCCCCCTGGTTTTTCTGGTATGCATGAAATAAGTGATTGATTGACTTTCAAAGCACTGGCTTCCAATTTCAGTGCTGTCAATATGGTTTAGATAATGAGATTTTTTTTTTTCTTTTCAAGTGCCTAAGTCCCCTTTTCCAGTAGCGATTTAGGCATGGAAGAGATTTAAGCATTACTGAAAGTTAGTTCAAGTCTCGCTTCTACATGTCCCTAATTTTTGCCGTCCCCTTTTGAAAACACCTTTTCCTCTATCCTGGCCACGTTTTTCTGGACCAGTTTTAACATCAAGTAAAAACCAAAATGGTCACTGATGTACTGATTAATCACTAACCTGTTTCATAGGACCCAGCATATGTAGCATTTTTATCGCAATTTCCCTGGCTTACTTGTGTTTTGCACTGATGAATTTTGGACAGGGTAATTGCCACTTTACTTGTGCAATACTGCTGTAAATAATTGCAGATCTTTTTTTTTTTTTTTTTAAGATGCAATCTTTTTATGTTCTTAATATGAGGTTTTATATGAATAAAACTTTCAACTATTATTTACCGTGCTGAGTTGTCTTCTCTGTCCTTGCACCCCGACGCGGGTTCCCGGGCAGGTCGCCCCAGCAGAGGCGGGCTGCTTGCTGCAAAGAGGGAGGTTGCAGAAGCCGGCTGCTTGGAGCTGCCGGTGGAGGGCTTCCAGCGTGCTGCAGCTGGTGGAAGACATTAACCTGCACGTCTCTCTTATTGCAACCGTTGTGAAAACCACAGGAGCTGAGCTTTTCCTTGCTTCCATCAAAGTCAAACTGAACGTTAATTCCCCCGGCGAGGACGAAGACCCCGTCCCCTGTTTGCCCCTAGCATAGGACAGAGGCAACTTTGTGAAAGCGGCTGCTGGCGGAAGCAATAAATTGGACGTCGAGGGGATATGGAGAGCCGCAGAAAATCACCGCGACCAGCTGCTTTAGCGAGCCCTAAGCGCAATGCTGGCATCCGTGGGCCATGCCCGGAGAGCCACCAGCTTCTCTCCCAGGCTGGGAAAGGACGCAACAGCGCACCCAAAACGGTACAAATTTACAGCATGAATGACAACGAAAGCTCGCAGACAGAAATGCCTATGTGTAATCTGACTAAATATCCATGTATCCGGCCTCTAGCGAGGCACAATATCTTATTTCCCTCCATAAAACTCCTCAAACCACATCAAGTAGCAAGGATTAACTGGCTTGAATCAAACCAACAGGCATCTCCTTCAGGACCCTCACTGTCCCTGTTGCTTCTTGTGATTTAGCAGAGGGATTAGGAAGTCTTGACAGCAAAGAGCCAGCCAGCACCACGGGCCTCAGCAGCGCCGTGCTGGCCCCAGGTTCATTTCTGTCCAAAGTCCTTTCTGCAAGGCTTTTATTTATTTATTTTTTGCTTAAACATAAATCTGCTGACCCCTGGCCTACAGGTGATGGGGTGAATTTTCTGTGCAACGCCTTGAAGGGGGATTGTAGCCAGCAGGAAAACGCCAAGGCCCCCGCATGGGTGCTGACCTGGGGAGTGGGGAGGGTCCACGCGGGCTCTTGCACGGGAGCTGGAGATGCTTGAACCCAGCGCCCTACGGGAGAGCGAAAGGAGGGACGGAAGAAACAGCGACGTCGGTCTGGACCTTCCCACCTTTCTTTAAAGATCTGGGGGAGCTGCGCGCTTTTATAGCTAGGACTTGTGAAGCTCCTTCCACCAAGCCCAGCCGGCTGGCTCTCTGCCAGGGAGAAAATCGTGTCTGCAGCACAGCTTTTCACCCTTTTCTTTTTTCGGTAACCCTCGAAGAAATCGTGTTGGTGTTGGCCCGGGGCAAGAAACGCGCACCCCAGGCGTGGGCGCAGCTCCCAGCGCCCAGCCTCGCCGGGGAGCAGATTGCAAAGGCCGAAGGCTGCTGAGCCACCGGCCTGCGTGTCTCGACTTGGCATAAGCTGGTTATATCAGTGGGTTCAGTTGTGGAAGAAGGTCCTGTCAGGCTCTGGAGGAGACACTTACTGCAGAAGCAAACTGCCTGCTAACGCAGTCCGTCTGCTAATTGTTAACATCTGCTCCTGCACGGAAACAGTCAGGCTTTCTAAGCTGGTAATTTTGTAGTTTATTTACTATTGCAAATGTGTGCGACTTATGGGCCATGTGCAAGCGATTAAACCTGGCGTTAAATTGCTGGGCTATGCCTTGTGAATCATCCCAGCGGCCCCCTCGCCCATGCCGGAGTCTGATTTTAACAGCAGCAGCGTTGGCCAGCAGGGCATCATGCGAAGGCGGGAAGAGAGCCCAGGGGCCGGGGTTCCTCCTTGCAGTCAGGATCCCCAAAGGGCGCAGACAGCCCTGGCACAGCAGTGTTGGGACGGACACGGGGCTCCGCTGGGCTCCTAGGAGACGTTGGGCGCGGTGAAACCACCACGTGCACCGCAGGAGGTCGCACCCCAGGTCAGGAACGAAGGAGGTTCAGCCATGGCACGTTCCCCAATATGTTTTGGGGGAACGAGATGACAGGTTTCAATAAGCAGGCATCCCCTGCCCTAACAGCAAGGGGCCAGCGAGACCTCATAGACCTGTGTTGGGCCTATTGCTCCCGTACTGTGGTGCTGGGTCTCTCATTAATGGGGTCCCAATGGGACAAAATAGCCAGCAAACCAACCCAGAGCAACTTGGCAAGGAGGGTGAGCAAGTGGCTGTGTGTCAGGACAGAGGGAACCGGTGCAACCCGGTGAGCCAAGGAGTGATGAGCGGATGCTGGGCAGCTAGCGAGGGTCCAGTCCAACCTCCCAACCCGCTTCGCCAGGTCTTGCCTTTTGTTTTCTTCCAAAACAAAGAGGAAAAAAGAAAAAAAAAAAAAAAAGAAGAAAGAAAAAAAGAGCCCTTCCTGGTCTGCAGTCCCAGGAGCACCCGGAAAAGCAGCAGCGCGGGCTCTGGCCGGTGTCGCGCTCCTCCCCGCCTATTGTGCCTGCGCCCAGGGCCGTGGCCCCATTGTGCCGGGCTTCCCGCTGCGCCGTCCCTCTTCCCCCCGGGAGAAAGCTTTCGCCTGCTCTCGGGGAGAGGTGAAAACAGCCTGGCCTCTGCAAAAACAACACAGCGAGCCCTCTTATCTTCTGCAGCCCTGGCATATCCCTCCCAGAGCCTTGCCGCGTCCTGGCCTCGCTTGTGCCTTCCCCTGGCTGCAGGGACACCCCAGCCCAGCAGTGGCCCAGGGAAAGTCGTATTTGCGGAAACACTGGCATTTTCCTCCCCTTCTTTGACTTCCCAGGGAGCCCCCGCGTGCCAGACAGGGGCTTTGACTTCCCAGCCAGCCCTTGGGCAGTGAGAGGCTGAGATTTGAAGGATGCCGCGGTTGTGAGTCTCATAGCCGGCGGGCTCGGGGACAGTCATGGTAGGAGGCGAAATGAGAGTGGGGCTCCTTTTTGCACCTCCCCCACTACTTATTTTCAGCACACTGATTAATGATTTGGAAAGGGGTGAGTAGTGAGTTTGTTGCGTTTTCAGGTGACCGGAGTGTATTTAGGTTAGCTGGGGACAAAAGGGACTCAGACGAGTGCTAGCCCTCGAGGGGAAAGATGCTG